CCCGCCTTCACTGTTGTGATTGGTGTGGGGGTAGGGACAGGCTTAGGGCGTCGGGGGGTTCCCCGGAGGCATCTTCCTTGGGGGGCTCAACCCGGGGTAGCGGTCATGTCCGGTTAGGGGCTCTGTTGGCTCTCCGGTGACTGTTTCCTCGCGGCTGCGTGCAGCGGGGCTAGGGGAGGGTCTGTGCTGACGGACGTGGGTTACTGACCTGGTAGCCTGGCTGCCCCTGGGTGGGTCCGGGATGGGCGTGAGGTTCTGGGGGCGCTCCGTCTCTGGGCTGGGACCCGGACCGGGCCTCGGGGGCTTGGGTCCTGGTTGGTGTGTTGCCGGGGTTGTGGGCGGGTGGGTGCATGGGGGCCCAGCCCTGGAGCAGGGTGCCGCCGGTGCGTCGAGCCACCTGGGGGCTCTTCAACTGGTGGGGGAGATTGTCACATCTTGCAGGAGCTTTCCTCTCCTCAGGAGCTGCCTCTGCAGGAGGGGGAGATACAGGAGAGGTGGAGGAAGATCTCAGCCTGGGTGTTTATTGTCTTATGTAGTCTGGAAGATGAGTGGATGGTGGGGTGGGTGCAGTTTTCTCTGTGGTGGGGTTGGGTGGACTGTCCCGGGCTCTGTGGGGCCGGGCGGCGCTGCTGCACTGGGCCCGGTCTGGATGGGCCTGGGCCCCCTTTCCCTGGCGGGTCGCGGAGTATGGGGGTGCCTACTGGGGTCAGCGGGGGAGCTGGCCCCAGGGAGGGGTCACTTGCCCCTCCCTTCCTTCCCTCCCCATCTCCAGCTCCCTCCCTCTTCCCGCTCCACCACAACCACCCACACATGCAGGGCCTTGGAGTAGGGGTATGTCACCAGGGTGCAGAGGAGGCTACCCCCCCCTCTGTCCCCTTCTGGCTGCCTCTGCCTCAATTTTATCCCACAACTTAGACATTCACATTACTCACACTCTCATTACACATACATATAGGATCTTGGGGGTGGGCACGATACACGGAGTCCAAAGTACCATCAGGGTGTACACCCCACCCCTGGCATCGTTGCCCACCTCTCAATTTTAAATACACGTAGACATTGAGGGCTAGCAGGAAGGACCATGCGCTTACCTGCTGCTCTCTGGCAGGTAGCTCCAAGCCCTCCTGGGTTTTAAATGCACCTTAGAACACACATGCATCAACATTACAATGAGCGGGTGGAGGGAGGTTCGGAGTCTTCTCTCACCCCCGTTCTCTGCGACCTGCTGGAGCAGGGGGGCTAGGACTAGGAGGAGGAGTTGGCCGTCCGACTGCGGTCTGGAGTGTGGAGCCTTCCTGCTGCTGCGGAGTCGGGGCGGTCTGCCTCCCCCCACCGCAGGGAAAAGGGAAACACCACCTGGGTCTGGGTGCAGTTCCCCCCTCCAGGGGCGGGGGCACCTAGACCCGGTTTGTAGAGTACGCTTGGGGAGTGTGATCGTGTGTACAGCGTCTCTTTATGTCTGTCTCCACGTTGGTTGAGTGTGGAGTAAGTGCATATGAGAGCATGAGGGTGGGAATGGATGTTTGTATCTGTGTGTGCCTGTATGTCTGTGTCTATATGTCAGGTTGGGTGTCAGGCGCCACCTCTCTGGGGACATCTCAGGCCCGCCAAGGTTTGGAGGCCTATCTCCCCCTACCACCACTTCCCCTGCCAGTGGCGGACCCCCTCAGACATCGGTGCGTTGGTGGTTCTTTGTGTCCGGGGATAGGCGTCCAGGTACACACCGGCTCACTCCTTGGCGGCCGCTTATCGGGGCCTGGAGCCTGGGGCTCGCTCGGGCCACTTCGGAGGTGGGGTGCCCCCGGCCTCTCGGCCTGGGGCTCGGTCACTCAGGCACGGCTGGCTGCCGGCGGAGCTCACGGGCGCGTCACTGCAACTCCCCCTGGCTTCTGCTCCGCGGCTGCTGAGTGAGCCCTCATCTGGGACTCTCCTCAGCTCTTTCCGGGACAGTGGCGCAGCTGCCCCTCTGTTGGTCTTCCTTGGTCTCTTGTGTTCTGGGGGCCTCTGGATGTCTGGAGTTTTGATCTCCTCCACACCTGCTTCACGCCCTGGAGGATGGGGCTGTGGCCCCCCCACACCCTCTAGCAGATCATTACATGAAGGAACCTTTTAAAAAAAACAAAAAACAAGCGCGTCCATGCTCACAGGTGTTCACACGGGTGATCACACCCACAAACTACACCCTTTTTGGCTCCTACCTCAAAGCACACTGTGTTCTGTTGATCTTATGTGCTGCACAATAATGTTTAATATTTAGTATTTACTGTCATATTCCCATATATCATTGTGATGTTGTTTATTCTATTACTCTTGTTCTCTTCTGCTTGCTTTCTTTTTTCTTTCTCAGCAGGTGATCCAGGTGATTGATATATGCATTTTTTTTCTCTGCCCGTTCTGTTGGTTTTTGTCTTTTGCCCTTCTCCCCCGTCCCTCTTCTCAGCTGTTTCTCTTTCCCTCTTTCTTTCTCCCCTTCTTTCCCCCAGTCAAGTCTGTCCCGTATTCAGTAAGTGAAAATAAAATAAACAATAAAAGGTGAATCAAATGGACCATTACGGCAAGGCTGGGATGGTCAGTTTGGTAAAGTAAATCCGTTGGGCATCTTTCTTTGCCTTTAGACAACAATTCTGATGGCAAAAGAGCCAAACGGGACAGGCAAAAAAAAAAAAAAAAAAAAAAAAAAAAAACAATACAAAAAAAGTCATGTTAAGAGTAATCACTATATGGTACTAGCACTAAAACTGTCAAAAAATAAATAAATACATTCAAAACATCAGCAAGAAAACATTGTAAGTTTTAATGTGCATCTTTATACATTTTATATGTTAATTTGGTTAGACTATTTAATGCTGCAAAAATACATTATTCAGGAATTTCTGCTTCATAGAGTAGCACACTTTTATTATAGAAATGAGAGGTTCCAATAAAACACAGTGTGCCACAACACTGTCTCTATCAGTTGTTGTAATATATTATTTTTGGATGCCTGTAAATATTGCAGAGCATAAAGTATGAAAAGTTAAAATGTGCCGCTAAGATAAACACAACACCAAAAATAATCTTTTTTTCTTTTTTGTCTCAGTGGATAATTATTTCCTGTTTATATATATACATTAAAAACACTGATAGAAATCTGATATTTCACAATCTGTCACATTTCTTTACAAAAACATTACCCATGTGTGTTTATTTGAGCCTGAACCTCCAGATGTGTAACTCGCACCGTCTGGAAGTTGTAACAGAACAAAGCGGACAAAGTAAATGCAATAATTTACTCACATGACTTAAATTATTATTTCCATACCAAATATTTACACATGGCACCTTTGACCATCAGTGCATTACAGACAAAGTTATTGCATCTATATAATCATCTTAAACATAAAGCGGTGCGAAACCCCACGATGGTTTTGATGAAAAGATGTGAACGTTGGTCGATCGGAAGACGTTCCCTGAGTCATAGGCCATGTCAGGTGCTGAAAATCTGCTATTTTAATCCTGGCAGGGATAAAAATCAAAACTTCCATTATGCGGAACATGTTTACCTGAAGTTAATGATTTGGTTTACAGAAGAAACAGCTGGAAAGAGCGGAATCAGTCAGTTTGTTCAGTCAGCAAAAATTCTATATTAACTAACTGGACACGTTTTATTGTTCTAGTGAAACTGGATGTAAAGTTATTACATATCATATAAACCACTGAGCTAACAGACGAAGAGATCTGGATAGTTTTTTTTTTTTTTTTTACTCCAAGGCCTTCTTTTGAAAATGACCAGAGAAAAATTGTGCCAAAACAATAAAACCACTGACAGCTGATGGGAATAACATAAACCATATACAATGCAGCGATCTGCTGGGAAACCTAAGATTCTGGCTTTCATGTGGATGTTCATTAGACAAGTAAGATAACAGGTAGACTCCTCGATGGCAGTGGGCACAATATGCCCATCTACACCGAAGCAACTACCTAAGAATATGATAAGGAGCTCAGATCATTGACTTAACCTCCAGACTCCCCACTCCCATTCTAATCCAAGCATCCGTGGAAGCCTCACATTTAAAGAACAGAGCTCAAAAGAGCCACTGCCACTGTGTCTGAGCAAAGTGGATGTTATAGATATGAAACAAACTAAGAATGAAGTTACCACACTGATGACATACACCTCTGCTTAATAAACTCAAAGTAGATATTTATTTCATTGTTAATAATCGCTTAAAAGCTGTTTTTTGACTTCTTTAAAATGTTTTAGAACCAGGTCTCTGGTACCAGACATCCTGTCTCCATGCCCTCATGGGTTAGAGCTGTGTCCAAGTTTGGCAGATGGTTTTATTGTTGTGGGTGATTCATTGCTAATATAGTTTCCTTTCGAAATCCTTTAAGTTTTATATAAAGAGTCTAAAAGTTATACAAATTACACATTTAATTTAATCCAATCTTTTGATCTTTTGAAAGGTTCAGTATATTAACTGAAGGTTTATTCTTTGTTGAAGATTCCTGGATTTGTGTATGGAAACCATTCTCACGCTTCTAACTTCCAGAAGGAGCTGAGCTCATCATAAAGTGGAAAGTTTGCATGTCTGAATCATCACCTGTATCAGTCTTGTGACAGGTAATAGACCATCAGCAAATACGCTGATATTTACAGATGGTGGTGGCTTCTGCTTCTTTGCTGTGTTTGACTAACTATGACAACAAATTTGGTTATTAAATGGTTGTGAACAGACAGCCACATAACGTCCACTTTGCGTATACTTAGCTTGTATTACCAGAACCTGTTTTTGTAAAGATAACATAGTAATGCCTTTTCTGAATACATTTACATCCACATTTATTGCAGGGTGGATTTATTTATCTGGACTACCTTTGTGTGGTTGTTTGAATAAATTTTATTTCTTTAGGACACGACCAAGCTGCAGGGTTTAGCATACAGATATGAAATCATCCTTTTCATCAAAATCTTTGCAAGAACATGCTCAACTTTTTGCATTTAGTATTTTATTAATTTGGCGATGAGATGCATATTTATTTGTCCACAAATCTGTGGTAATTGCAGAGTTTCAAGTGACTAGATTGATTTTCTTTAAAAAAACAAAAAAAGGATGAGGAGATGGACAGAAAGAGATGTTTGAGGTATCAAGATGACTGTGTTGGATGCATAATTGAAAGAAAAATGCTTCTCAACTATAGTTGATGTCTCCATCTTGCTAAAGTTCTCTTTATTTCAGATACAGGCTTTCCTCCACGTTGACTGCGATGCAGTTCAATTCCCAGGAGGTCAAGGTAAGCCACGACCCCTGCTGGGCGTACTACCTGCAACCACAAGACTCCACCACCATATCCTCGTACTGCTTGTACACCACATTGTTTCCTGAGTCGATGTAGAGGATGCTGATGGGGCTGAGTTTGGATGGGGCGCAGCAGCTTGGAGGCATGTTGCTAGGGTTCATTGAATTCATCAGAGTCTGGATAATGGCGTGGTTGGTGGGCTCCAGGTGGGAGCGCAGGGGGAAGTCGCACACCCCCTCGCAGTGGTACGCCTCATAGTCCAGCGGGGCGATGATCCAGTCGTCCCAGCCCAGATCTCTGAAGTTCACATGCAGGGGTTTCTTGCTGCACCTGGATTTTGACTTCCTGCCATGTCGCTTCCCATGGCGGGTTTTGGATGCAGCAGTCCTGCGTCTCCTGCTGGCTTTAGTGCCAGGGCCCCTCTCTTTGGGGCTTTTCTCGAGGCCCAGTAAGGCTCTCCCCTCCCTCCTCTCGCTGAAGAGTGTCTGCTTCTTCATTGACCTGGTGAAGACCACTAAGATGGCCTTCTTCTGCTGAGGCCTCCCATGTCGGTGCAGTCCCAGAAGATGCAGATCCAGCTCCCTCTCAGGATTGTCCAGCACGGCCCTGAGCTCCAGGCAGAAGTGCTTCCCCTGGCTCAGGTGTTGTCGCTCCTTGAATATCTCCCACACGTCCAGCACCTCCCACCTCGGCCTGTGGGAACCCTGCAGGTCCAGTGTTTTGGAGTCGAGCAGCTGCTGGTCGTGGCAGGAGAGGAGCTGGATGTCGACAGGCTCTGTTTCCGATATCCTGAAATTCCCAGACGCTTTTGTGTAAATCCTGAGCTCGGCTCCCAGCACCTCCGCTTTTTCTGAGAGGGTTGAGACATCGAACAGATACTGTTGTCTCCTCAGAGGGGAGAGTGGGAGGTCATCTGTGGAAAGCATTAAAACAGCAGGGTCAGATGCCTTCTCACTGAGATGATCTACATACCACAAAGATGTGGAATCTGACAGATAAATATCCCAAATGCAGTCTGCACTGAATTAAACTGGGAGACAGAGTATGAGTCACAGGTGAACCAGCAATACTACGTACAAGCACACACTCACACACGCGGCAGAGCTCCACATACCTTGTCCGCTGTCCACAAAACTTGCAATAGTGTTTGCAGCTTTTGAAGAACGGAAAAAGCTGGCATTGAGACCCAGCTTCTCCGCCGTGGAGAATGTCTTGTAAATAGACAACATGTAGTCATGCGGCTCAATTAAGTCTTTAGGTGCTGCTTTGTTGTATCTGTCCTGTGAGGGTCGAGCGTAAAACTCCTTAAAATATTTAGACGCTTCTTGTGAATTAAAAATCTTCGCCGCTTTGCTGCTTTTCGGCGCAGCTGGAGGGAAAATAACGAGAGTCTGGAAACAGGGCATGCCCCACACGAACACAAGAGCCCCGCAAAGAAAAGAGAAGTGATAGAAATCCATCCTCTGCGCTCGTCCTGAGTCTGAGTCGGAGCCTGAGCTGTGGCCGGGGTGGACCAGAGCTGGACTCTGCATCCGCTCCTCTGTGCAGCAAGTGGCTGCTCCGCAAAGTGCGCACAGCTCAGAGGGACAGGCGGCGCGCAGTTTAAAAAACACAGGAGACGAGGACACGCCTACATTGTTCTAAAGGCTTAAAGGAGAGGGCAAATTAGGCTGTAAAGATAATTGTTCCTCTGACACACCCCACCCTCCTCACGGAAAGACAGATGTGCGCTCAAAAGACTATGGTGCATGAAACTGCGCTGACTTTTCTCGCTCTCACCAAACCTGCTTAAATGGAATCAGAATTGATTTGATTTTCAGTTTTAAGCCTGAGTTTTGGAAGTTTCTCTGCAGAACGAGTCCTGTAACGTTGCCTCGGTGCATTATTTCTTTAGTGTTTATTGTGGAGTGTAATGCCCTCTAGTGAAGCAAAGAGATACTGCTTTGATACGAAAGACGAAAGGCGCACAGAGGCAACGTCCTTCAGCACCGTGGACAGAGTCTGTGCTCAGCAGATAGAAATAATTATTATAATCCACACATTATTCAGATATCCTCATATTTGAGATTCATGACTAGAATAGACTCTAGAAAGAAAGACATAACTGCGTAACTATACTACACTTTTCTGCATGGTATGAAAAAAAGGCGTCACGATGCTGTTCATTATTTCTTTATTTCATTTTTTTTAATTAATTTTGGGACATTAAAATTATTTATTACAGCCCCTTCTAAAATGTTCTTAATGGTGGGAATATTTAAAGTTACATCCTCAGTAAAAACATTTGTAGACACCCGTGGGGCTGAAAACACCTGAATTCGAAGATCAAGAGGCGTGGCCCCAAAAACATGAGAAAAAAACAAGTCAAGAGACAGTGACACAGTAAAGATTCACTTAAAGATAAAAAACACAATTTATTGAAAAGAAAGTGTAGTTTCAAACAATCATTAACATGCAGAAAACTGTTGCAAAATTTCTTGTTTTCCTTCAGCTGTTTGCAGTTTCAATTTCACTGCTGCACTTTTTAAAAGTAGAGGTAATCTATTTGGACCTCACACCCATATTAAATCTTACACAAAATACAATGAAAGAACCCAAAAACTAACAGAAATTAACATCTAATGCACAAAATCATTCAAGAAAAGCTTTACTTTTACCTCATGAAATAGTAAAAATGATTATTTGTTGTTGTATTCTTCATAAATCCCTTTTACCTGAGAAGATTTTTGTTCTAATGGATATTGATCTGAAGGCTATAAGCAATGGAAAAATATACCACTCACAATAAACTTTAAACAAGAGGTTAGTTTTCGTCCTTCATGTTAACGTGACTTTACATTATCCTTCATAAAGCGGGCTGAGCTCTTCTAACCTATGGGGACAGCATCGGAGCAGCAGGCCACGGTGTAGATAACGCTAGCCAGGCACAGAGCGCCAGCAGAAGCAGTGGTGCCAGAGCCGAAGATGCTGTCGTCGGTGACCTGACCAGTGGTCGTGGTAGGTGTCGGCTCTGTAATGTTGCTGCTGGTCGTCGGGATCTGGGTGGTGGGAGTGTTCTTAATGGAGAAGGCTCTGGATGTGGTGCCCCAGTCCTTCAAAGTGAAGACCATTGTCAGGTTCTCACCTGCAGATGAAGAACAGATACTTATACGCCTAATAGGATCAGTTTCTGCTTTCATAAATAATGCTTGATATTTATTTTATGCACATATTGGTTTTGCAAATTTTTTTATCATGCATGAACTGCACCAGCTGTTTTCAATCTGCCAGTTTTCAAACGTTATTTAGGTTCAGGTGAGGATGTGTGAACGCACCGCTGTTAACAATGGACAGGTCGCTGAAGTTGGCCCAGCAGGTTCTGAACAGGATGGTTGTGTTTCCTTCAAGCCCACCAACGCTGTTTCCATCAGAGTCCTTCAGGCTGGCTGTAACCATGAGAGTCGTCACTCCCACGGAGACGCAGTTTCCCTGCAGACATTAACAAAGGTCAGTGTGAATGGACACACACACACACAATGGACGAATATAGAAAACAGACTTAATCCTTGATTATATTCCATTGTGGACACAAACAGCTCGAGACCCAATGGCTAAGAGGGTCATTCCTGTTATACGTATTCAACTTATTCAAAGTCTGCTGGAAATGTGCCACCTGGGGTGCAGGGGTAGCTAGTGCACCGTGACGTAAACTTCCCCCAAACAAGGCAGTGTGGTCATAAAAACATGCAGGCACATCGACGTTCGCATAGACCGTTGTGCTCACTGTCTGGTGAAATTTATAAATAATGCCTGCCATCTAAGAAAGTCCAGATTATCCACTCAGGTAAAATTGTTGATTTTCACGCATAAATGTCCCAAAAATGTTCCTTATTTTTACTCTAATTATTCATTCGAGTCCACTCCACATTTACAGTGAAACTGCCTTCTGTGTGAATGATAGCTAAGTCTAGACAACAAATTTTATATTGGATTGAGGAAAAACAAAAGAATCATGGTAACTTTGAGAAATGTACATTTCTAGAATACCAGATGAGTCATACTCAGTCCTACTAAAACGATCCTAAATATAAAATAATCCAACCCTGATCCAGGCAAGGTGTGAGAAATTTGCAGTGTTTATATGGATTGGGTCACTGAGTTAGTAATGAATGAATTAAATAAAAGGTAGAAGGGGATGAACTGTTTGAAATGAAAGATCATCTAATAATACAAAAATTAGATAAACCAACCTCACATCCTTCCCAAAACATCAGCTTTAACACTGGCTGTGCAGTAAAACATCTCGAGCTGCCTCACCTCTGCATCCACAGCCATCAGACTGGGCTGCTGGTAAAGAGGACCCACAAACTCCCCGGCTATCGGCTCCTCGATCAGCAGCAGGCGGTCCACGCCGGACACGTAATTCACGGTAGGTTCCTCTCTCGTTACTTCCTCTGTCGCCACCTGAGGTTAAAAGGAGGAAATCACCATGTAAATATGAGACATTTCATCACACACGTAATGTATTTTTATCATCTTAATATCAAAACAGCTGTTATAGTGTCTACAGAGCAGATGTTATTCTGCTTCACCTCATTCCAGCTGGGGTCAGAGGATGGAGGAGGAGGTGGGACCATGCCAATGGAGGAGACGTTAAAACCGATGGACTGACTGAGGTTTCCAGTCACTGCTGCCTGACCCAGTTCATCAGCGATGTTCTTCAGCAGTGTAAAGTCCTCGTCATCTGAGAAGACACAGGCAGCAAACATGATGATTAACTGAACAGATTAGACCCTAATGAGCAATAAAGTGGCACTTTTCCTTCTTCCTAACCGTTGGTGCTGTTTGTGGTTTGCTGGACAGGAGGCTTTTTGATCTCCACCTCCACCGTCAGGCCCGTAGATCTCTTCCTGCGACGCGCGCCTCCGTTCTCCCTGATGATCTTGGAGATGCGGATCATGTTGGGAGGAACTTTGAGGAACACGGCGAGGTTCTGGACCAGGCTGTTGCCATAGAACTCCTCGTCGGTCATTGCGGGGAACCCAAAGGCGATGACGAGAACCGGGGCAGTACGGATCTCCACTGGTTGAGAGCCTCTCAGCACGACCTTCAGCATCTTATAGTCCTGGTCAAAGTAGTTGGTGCCCACAGTGGCATTTAGCTCGGGGACGTACTGACCTGGAGTGATTAAACACAGAAAATCTTAGATCATCATCTTCAGATATAATTCATACATGACAAACACAGATCCTTGTAACATTTCCTGTTGATTTGATTAATATTTGTGGTGATTATTTGCACAAGACGAGAAATTAAGAATGCAGATACTTTAAACTAAGACAAAAGGTAAAAAAATATGTATTCATCTAAAGCATAAAAGGGTGGAAAAACACATTTAACAGAACAAACAAAGGGCTACGTGACATTAGCCCGCTATCTTTTATAAAAATGGCTGGCGTCCACTAGATTCTGAAAGACGTCTTAGAGTCGGTTGATGAACCTGATGTACTTTTCTCTCCGCTGGACATTGTTGGGGAAAACATGTTAGAATACTCACGTTACTTCTTTGTTGTAGAGAATCAAGCTATTTAGTTACTTTAGTTACCAAGTCAAACCTTGATCAGGGTTTGGGATCATAGTTTGTTTTTTTGTTGTTGTTGTTGTTTGTTGCATTAATATTTGGGTTCTCAGATGGGTTTCATTGTTTTCATTTTCACTTTTATTTTGGTTCCTGTCTTTATAGTTATTTTCTTTATTCTTTTATGAAGCAGGTATTTCCTGGTCGCTTTTTTAACAAATATATTCTCAGTTTTAGTTATTGCTACTTTTTCAAGTCTAGTTTTAGCTTGTGTGCACCTTATATTTACTTCCATCCTCCCTCCCCCGTGTTCCTTGTATGTTGTGAAGTCTCCACATCTGTGTCCTGTGTTTCGCTGTCACACAATTTTCTGTTTTATTTTGGTAATCATTTTTCTCCTGTGTCTTGCATTTTGTGTTTGCCTTTGTTGATACCTTTTGATCAGCCGTGATGCTAGTCGGCACATGATATCTTTGTGTAAACCATTAGTACCTGCAAGGATCGGTTTCTTCAAGATGTAGTTAGTGTTATCAGCATTCCACTCAGCATTAGTGGGAGCGATCAGTTGATTATTTACATACACATCCAGACGCTGAGGGTTGGAATAAAACACTGACACCACGATGCTCTGCACAAATGTAACAACAAAAAGACACTTAGTTACTGAATGTAGATTGATCTGAAGACTTAGACATCTGGTTTGTATTTGTGGGCATTTTTTTTAATGATTTATCTCAGGAGTGCCTTTTAAAAGTTTTACTCCTTAAAAACAATTAATACATTCAGAACAGCATTTTTGAAAATGTGGCCTGACCTCAGATGGATTAGAGTTGAGCATCATGAGGCGAAGCTTTTGCGGGCTGACGCTCGTGAAGTAGACGTCAAAGGAGTGACCAGTGGCTACGATACTGTGGAAGAGGGAAAGTCTCCTCTGGCAGGTGTAGCCAGAACACCAACCGTGATCCTGAGGACCTGGACACAAACACACAAAACAGAGTTTT